TACTGAACTTAGATTATTCAAAAGGAAGTTGAGCAAAGAGAAAAAGGGACATATCTTTTTAATTTAAAAGGGGGAATGAGAAATAAGAGAGTAATTATCTCTCAACATATCCTGTATGTATAAACAATATAAACAGTGGTGTAAAAAAAAAAAAAGAAAAAAAAGAAAAAGAAGATTCAGGTAATGTGCAATTGATCTTAAATATTAGTTTTTGAATTTTCTTTAACTTTTTCCTTTTAAATCTTTTTCCTGCAATATATAGAATTTTATCTGATGCACTCTTGTTCAACCCTGTACAATACAGAAATTATTTTAAATCAATTCTTTACATGCTTTTAAAAAAGTGTCCTTTCTCTAAGCAATATAATTATGTCATTCATCTCATATTCTAGCTGCCCTAGAGTTCTTGGCCCAATCAAGTAACCTTAATAAAAAAAAGAAAGAAAAAGAGCTGATGCCTGTCTATACTATATTTTTTAGAAGGGTTTTGAGCAAAGAACTTTTCTGCACTCTCTCATAATACTTAATCTCATATATAAAAATATAAAATAATATATTAAAGTTTTCTTTGAACAGAAAAATATCCCAAATATAGGTTACAATTGGTTGTTTAATTGAGATGTTAAACTGAGAGAAAAAAAAAAAACACGTGTTGATCATTTTTATTTGTGGTATTAAAACCATTCTTAAAAAAAAAAAAATGATAGAACGGAATCTATCATACTTTTCAAAATTGGTTACACACAATGGTAAGTCACAGTTTTCTTGAGTAATCTTAAGGATAATGGTATAGTAAAGAATACTTGGTTAAGTCAGATTTTTAAAAAAAGTAAGTACAAGAATCCCTCGATTAGTGCAGCTAATGTGTACATCTGTAACTATAAAAAAAAAATCAATTTTTAGTTACTCTGGTTAAATTGAAGAATGTTTTACCACACTAATCAAGTATTATTTATGTACTAATCAAATTTTGGTATATCAAAATTTTAGAGCACTAATTGAAAAAGAATTAATCAAGGGGTGCCTGTATTATCCCATAACTTTGTAAGTTATGAAAAATGTAGAAACTATATCCAATGAAAATTGGAGATCATCCTATTACAAGCCAATTGAAAAGTAACTCCCCATTTTAAAATACTTATAATTTATTTATTAAATATAATTTTCATATGAAATGGATATGAGAGGAAAGTGTTTAGCATGTGGTTTTATTTAAAATTCAATATGGCCACCAGATTTGGCTGCCAGCTTTTTGAGCTGCCCAAGAATCATGTCAACTCATTTCACCAAGAACTCATGTGGTATCGAAGACATAACTTCTTGTATTCACCCTTCAAGTTCTTCCAAAGTCTTGGTTTGGTATAGTAGACTTGCTCCTTTAACCAACCCCAAAGAAAAAAAAGTCGTCACAGTCAGGACTCCTGGCTAGCCATCCATATATAAAATATGGAGTTACTTTTCAATCATCCTGTAGATTAAAAACCATTTAACAATTTGAAATCCCAACAAATATTTTTTATCTCTAACAATGGCAAAAAACATTTTAAAATGTTAATTTTACTTATTTAGCAGTTGGCATGTCAAGGTCAAATCATTATAAAAAGGTCAATTTCCATTCCTTTTAATATGCTCAGTTAATTAGAAACTACAAACTGAAGCACGTTTTGCAAATTTATCCAAGTAAAGTCTATTGCTATTTAACAAGCACTACATGTAACATTTCTTGCAACAGATACTTCTTTGCTGCTTTGTTTTAACAAGGAATTAATTAAATATAAAACATTTTATCACAGATAAATTCAGGTGTATAGTCTCAGCTAACTAGTTACTGTACCTTGTTGCTTTTAATGCGCTTGAGAATTTAATAAAGTACAAAAAGTACAAACTGGAATTTTTCTTTTGTAAATTGATAGAAACCAGTTGTAAAGTAGCTAGCATTTGACTTGAACAGTTCATTGTTGAACTTTATATAAAAATCAGTCTTCTCAAGTTCAGAATATTTGTCCTTTAAGTCTAATCCAATGAGTTGTATTAATAGTCTTATAAATCTGTAGAGTATTTCTATAGCAGTGAATTTTAATTGAAAGATAACATTGGTTATTCAAGAACAGAACTGAACCAGTTTGCCTATTTTGGCTTGTTGGTTTTACATGATTTTTTTTTTGTTTTGTTTTTATTTTTTTTGCAAAAGAAGAAATTAAGTTAAAAAGTAGAAAGTACTGCAAAATGGATTACTAAAATTTAGTACATGTAACATCTTGTCATTTGAAATTTGTTGAAATAATCTTAATTTATCAATTGAAATAATGTTAAAATTTGCACTATTGTAAAAAAACTCAGCAAAAAAATGACAATTATTGGATAAACTGATCAAGATTCTAGTGAAAGTAAGACAAAGTCAATTTAATTGATTATTTTTCAGGTGTTTACACTATTAAAGTCTTTGAACATCCAAATATTCCTCCTAAAATAAGAAATCTATGATAAAAATCCATTGCTTCTGACCTTGTGCTGTTTTCTGTGAGTATCCAATTTCCACTCTTAATTTTGTTGGTAATTGACTGTCCTTTAAGTACCTACCTCATGAAATAAAATTACAATAAATTAAATCAACAGCCTTCTTTATTTTCTTCTCTATAATTTAAATAAAATGGTGACTACACTTAGCTGTTGCTAGTATAATTTATATTAATCCTTGCAGTCAAAACTTGTTAGCATAGAAAGGCGGCATAAAATTTAAGAAAAATTCTTATTCCTACATGTCCAGACTCGTGCCATCTCTTCCATATTTATCAGCCAATACTCTATAGTTTTTAACATTCATGTATTCAAATTAAATTAAATGCTATTGCTTTTTGTGAGAAGGATAGCTATTTAACTATACACTTTCATCATGATTTTATTTAAAAAAGAAAGAAGTCTGGGGGGGGGAATTGTTGTTGTTTTCATTAGATACACTTAACTTAAAAAGTTCCTTTTGAATATGGCAAACAATTATTTACCAGAAATGAACTTAGAAATTATCAAATTAAAATTAATAAGTGTTTGCTTAAAAGACTAGGTAATTTTAAAATTCTTAAACAAAAGCATTTAATAATTATGATTTTTTTCATTTGGCAGAGAACTCTACAGTCTACAGGAAATCATGAATTATAGAAGTATCATTCAGATCCACTTATTAGTTACTCAGGTGTCTATTGAAATGTGTTTGGCAAGATAATGTCTGCACTCAGCTTAAAGAGAGAGAAATTGATAAATCATGTTTTAAGATGAAAGAATATTGAAACACAAAACAGATCTAAAGTGTGTTGGTTAGCAAATTGTCTCAGATGAATTCTCTATGGTAGTGCTCTACTATTGTGATTTTGTGCCAGACTAGGCTTATTAATTTCTAATGTCATTTTAATGTCATTTGCTTTTTATCACAATTTCCAGATCATCATTCTATGATAATTTAGTAAGTAGCACAGATCAGAAGTAAATGTGAACTCATATCCCTTATCTTCAAGAATATACCTTTCCAGAGCAGCTGCCTTAATGATTAGATTAAGGAGATCAAAGACAAAGAATGTAAATTTGAATCTGGTTGGAGGTTTATTCTTTACTTTATGAAATGACAATCTGGGAGTTGTAATAAAAAGCAACTGAAAGTAAGATTAAAGAAGTACTAGTTATACCATAAAAACAAGTGACAATGCTGTAATTAAAAAAAATAAAGAAAAAAGGTCATGCTTAGTAAATATAAAAGAAGGATCAACTTGAATGTATTAAAGCAGTTGATATTTCAAGATTGTTTGGCATCATAAATATTATCCCCCTCCTCCTAAAAAATTGATATTTTATTAGCATAAAAAGAAACCCTTACAAATACTTTCTATTTATCCAATGGGCTGGAAAATAAGCTGAGAACAGTCTTAGTTTTATATTACATGTAATTAACCTGAAAACTAATCTAGTTCATTAATTATATTTTCAACTGTTGCTTTTGAAAAATCTTGAATTGTTTTAAGTCCTTTACTATTATTTTGTACTGGTTGAAAACATTTATTAGATTGATCTTTAAAAATTCCAACTATGCAAGAAGAACCCTTTGTTTTAATAATATTTAAAATAGGAACATCATTAAGTTTTAAGTGACTTTTCTTATTCCAGAGCAACTAATTTATGAGATTTTGTCAACGCTTTCCAGTTTTCTGATTAGTGGGGGAAAAAGAATAAGATAACACCTAATTCCTTATTTGTTTAGATCAGCAAAAATAAAGTCAAAGAAAAAATAAATTTTCTTAAACAAAGTGGGAAGTGAAGCTCAAACTACTTGGTTTAAAGTGACAAATTAACCTTATGAACAATCTACTACTCCATAATATTTAGTATAATAATTCAGAAATGTTCAATGTAAAGTAAAGTCTGCATCTGTATATATTTGTATGGTAAACCATTTTAGATTGTTAAAATAATGTTGAGTTGTGTGGCAAAAAGCAAGTTTCTGTTTAAATATATTATAATCACTTCCCACTCTTTTATAATTCAATAAAATGTCAGGGAGATACTGCCAATAAAGTTATCAGCTTTAAAGCATTAGTCACAGCAATAGGATTTTCTTTTTTGAGTAAAGAGGGCATCTGATCTAAATGAACAAAGATTGCAAATCAAAATACCTACCTTCCTATGTAGGTGTGAATGTGAGGGAGAGAGAGAGAAGAGAGAAAGAGGACGGGGAGTGAGAAAGGGTGAAAGAGTGTGAGAGTTGTTTTTTTTTTTATGGTTTATCACCCCTTTTTAAAGCCAAAACATCAGATTAAGAGAGTGAGAAAATTATTTCACAATTCCTTGCTAAGTCCAAAAGGATACCTTTGCCTTAAATATTATATGAATAGTATTTCTTAGGAGAGGCAGTGAGAACCAACTCACCTCCTTGCGGTGTGGTTAGTTGATTAGTAGTACCTGGACGTTTCCGAGATGTGACTGAGGTGTGGACAGGCAGACCAAGGGCACCGCTTTGTGGCATAGCTTGTCCTTTAGGTCTTTGTCGAGGTGTAACAGTTGTCGTCTCAATGGTTGGAGTTGTGACGGTTCTGAAGTTAAAATATTAATGATTAATTAACTAATTTCATAATGAATAAGCATAATAAATACTTGCATGCATGCACACGCATTATATATATATATATATATATATATATATATATATATATATGAATTACAAATGTTATTTTTAGTGGATACCTATGTTTGAAATAGACACCACATTTTTTTTTTTTTTAATTTTATTTTAAACAAGTGTGTATTATGTCTATCGGCCTTGCACACCTGAGAAAACTTAAAGAAAATATGCTCCCTGGCAGGGTTTGAATTTGTGTTACCCTTTTTAGAAGAAGCCAGTTTGATCTGGTGTGCTTTAGATCATTTGGTCAGAGCGAATCACAGCCTAGCAAGGTCCTATTTAATCTTTTAAGGAATGCATGCTTCCTCATTCAGTTATTCTCAAAAGCCCATATTAGCTCATTTTCGTATATGAAAGAAATTTTCTCAAGTGTACAAGCTGATAAATGTAATACACACTGTTTAAAATAAAATCATTAAGTTATATACACCAATGAATTAGATTTTTAATGGCTTTTTTATAGGTACCCCCATGAATTGGGTATATTTAAGGTTTAAAATGAATTTTAGAAATGAAAGTTTTCCTGAAGCTTTCAATTTAGCTTTAAACGAAAGCTAAAGGATTAAATTTACTATACCCAGTAAGCAAAATACTTTAGTGCATTTCAGACAGAAATTATATTGATTGGAATAGACTTGCATTTTTTTTCTGTAAAATCGATAATGTCATCCATTTTTTAGACATTTGTAAACAAAATTTTCCATTTTAAAAATCATGCAAAAATAAATATATTTTTGAAATGTTATTTGAGGAAAATTGGCAGATTTAAAGTTAAGTTAATCTGATTTGATACAAATATTAGTTACTTATAGCATAAAATGTTATATACAAGCATTTCTTAACCACAGGGTCTTGTTTTTCTGACGTATTAATTGATTTATTGATGGTGGATTGACCGCCAAACATGTTCATAGTTAAGTATGGTGTAGCAGACAAATTTCATTAGGGTTTTTTTTTTTCTCCTGTAAGTGGGGACAATCTTTAAAACACGTGACTTTTTAAGAATAAATTAATTGGTTTGTACATCCATACTTCAGAAATTTTGCATCTATATCAAAACAAATCAAATCAAAATTCTTTTAAAAATAGTTGGGGGTCTTCAGATGGTAATAAGCTTTAAAATATACAATTAATAAATATAGTTTTACTTAATAACAATATTCCCTAAAAATTATCTCATTGAAAATTAACTTTAAAAATTTCAAAAACTTTATCTCTTTAGACAATATCATCTTTAATATATATTATTCATAAAAACAATTAAAAGCTTCTCTAATTAAATATTGTCTTAGTTTTATTGATTCAGAACAGATTTTCAGTAAGACCAGGTCCAATTTTGAACCCCCACCCCACAAAAAAAAAAAAAAAACTAAATAAAAAATATTTATACCAAGATTTTCAAATAAAACAAATTTCAAAAATAATTTTATTTGTTTGTGAATAAGTCCTGAAAATTGCATTAAAATTTGACAGTTATTTGATTTTTTCAATAATTTCCAAATTTATGTATCTCTCATCACCAAAACTTGCTATGCTAAAAATTAGTACAACTGCTGACACAAGTTGTTTATTTTAATCAAAATTTCAAATGTTCTAAAAAAGAGTAAAAAATGTAATTAAATAATCAAAAAATACTTTGATCCTTCCTCTTAATAATAACATTCTACTGCCATTTAGTGGACAGGGAAATCATCTCATCCTTACTCCTATGACAACCTTCTGGAAGTGTCTTCATGAAAATTGACTTTCCCCAGATACCATAGCTTGGGACTCAGGGTTGGACACTGGGAATCGGGAGACAGCAATACAGGACCGAAAAGTGTGGAAAGGGATTGTCAATGGAGTTCCAACTAACCATAGGGAGGTCGAAGGATGATGATGAATAATAACAATGATTTTGATGATAAAACTGTTTTCATTACATTTGGAACATGTTTTCATCACAGTATGCTGATTTTTTAGTGATTCTGTGGAGGTACCTACTTTTTTTTTATCTTGTATATAATTAAGATTGCATCTGATTCAGTAGAATAAATTAATGATATTTTTATTTATAACAAGAGGGTTATTGTGTAATTTTCTAAACTTCTTTATTAGCTTTAAAAGAAATTTAAACAATCACCCAGCTATAAAAAAAAAAACTAAAACATTAACTTATTTTACTGTAACCAGATACACCCCAGTTATAAACACAATTAAAAGAGCCATTAAAAATATAATTTGCTTATTGCTTAATGATAGCCATACACACACACACACACACACACACGTGTGTGTGTGTGTGTGTGTGATGGCTTTGAATCATTAAACAAGTTTGATCTATGTTTACAGTCTTGTTTCTCTTGAGAATGAGAATAGCTCTTGAAGCCATCAAATGACTTGCAATGCATACTGCAGATGTGGTAAAGTAAGTTTTGGCCTGTTTTGTAAAGTTTGTTCAGCATTTGATACACACTTCATGTTATTTCTAGCAATTGTAATTTGTGAAAATTTTACCAATGTGACTTATTTAGGCCTATATTGGACAGAGATGCTCTGCTACATTCATCACATGTAAATTGATGGATTGCTAGATCAATGATTTCCCCTTTCCTAGCTGCACACTTGACAACTCATTGCATGTTCTTAAATCTTAATACTTTCATGAATTGTACACCTCCACTTATATCTATCACAAGCAGTAGTGTCTCCACTTGGGATCATCTATATGGCAGGCTTCAGGAGACTCTCTTAAAGAGTCCTTGAAGTGCTTCTTTGGTTTATGCTGGGGTTGAGTGCCATAGAGCATTGTTTTGGTATTCTGCTGTAGTCAAGGCAAATGATGTAGCCTGCCCATTGAAGCTAAATATATACATACATACATAGACACACATTTCTGAAACACAAAGAGGCTTTATGAAATCAATGAATAGTTACTTGAAGGTTGTTGTCTTCACTTGTTTGAATTCTTGTTCAGTTAATGGACAAGGTAATTTCGCTATGTCAGGATTTGGGGAACACTAGGAGAGAAAAGAAAAATTCATTAAAATGTACATATGTACAACTATTTAAAAAGACATTTATAACTTCACTTGATAATTATTGAGCAGCATCCTGATACCCAAAAGTTTGGGCTTAATGAAGATATTGGAACAGTCAGATTCAACACTGAACTCAAAGAGGAAAAAGCAAAAGCTCAACCTTTTAATTCTTACAAAAAGATCTTATGCTGATAGTTTTATTCATTTTGTTAAATTGTTTAACCTGCTTTGGGAACAATGCTTTACTAAGTAACGAAAGACTTTTTCCCCCACTTTTCTTCTCACTTAAAATAAGCATTTTTAGTTTTACCTCTTACAGAATGGAATGAAATTAGATTACTAAATTATCCCAAAGAAATACTCATTTAAGGAAAAAAATTAAAAAAAAATCTCAACATTCATTTTCTTTTGCCATTGATGCTAGGACAACTGCTCCATGTTTAGGTAGCATTTTCAAATCACAGGTTTCAAAATATTGAGTTGGGAAAGGTTAGTGTTTTCTGCAGTACATTTTTCAAATAAAATATCTGAAAAACTGTGTTGTTTGTTTTTATTTTCAAGCAATATTTAGTGACAGTAACATGGACATTAATTTTCAAAATTGAAATTTTCAAAAACATTTTCCCTTGCATTTAATTGATTAAAAAATAGTTGAGTTGACACTTCTTCCTTAAAAGAGTTTTACAAAGTTTGAAAGGAAAACTTATTACAGCAAAAAGTGACTTTTTTTTAGTAGACATTTGTAATAATATTTTACTTTATTGTATTTTTATCCTAAATGAAATAGTTAATTGACTGTTGAACTTTTGTAAGATAAATGGAGATCTTAGACATATATAAAGATAAAAAATCAAAGATAAAAGTGAATTTGCATTCTGAAAGTTTCAAATCAAATCTATTTATGTAAAAGAAAGAATTAACAGAAGTAAAAAAAAAATAATTTAAAAAGAAATACATTTTTTTTTAAAGACTTACATTCATGTTGGGCACTGGAGAATCCTTGCTCTGGAGCAAGAAGGCAACATAGGAAACTTGGTATATATCAGGGCGCTTTTCAGGATCCACTTCCAGCATATAAGCTGAAAAAAGAAAAGAAAAATGTAATTAATGAATACATTCAAAAATATCTACTACCAACATATCAATGTAAAAAAAAAAAAAAGAAAAAAAAAAGGATCTAATGCAAAATTGTTAAAATAATGACATCTGATCAGTTGCTGATCAAGTCCACAAATATTTGAAAAGTAATATTTGAGTCTTGAAAAATTGCTTATTTTAAACAGTAACATTAAAAAAAAAATAATAAAATGAACAAAATCAATTTCCTTCCAAAATAAAATCTTTTTTCTTATTTGACATCAATTGGGGTCTTCATTATGAAGAGCATTAAAAAAATTATTAGTCCATCGAAGAGATTGAAAAAAAAATTCTGATATTTAGTTATGTAGTCATACATTTTAAAGTGGCCAGGCAAACCACTTTTCCACATCCCAATCATAATACATAATTAGGAGTAAAACTTTGTAAAAATTGGATTAGAGAAAAATGTTTGGTTTAATTTGTTCACGTAAATAACCAGGGGCAGTTAACTCTAACAGTCGTTAACTTATCAAGGAAAGATAACTCCACAAACCTGCCGTAAAAATTTCAGTGTAAATCATTTTGAAAAAATCTCAAATCTTGTCGAATATTGAGGAAATCCCTAAACTAGTATGACTTAAATAAAATTAAAATTGATATCTCCAGATACAAAGTCATCTAGTTAGGTTCTTTTTGTGATATTCGTTCCTTGTTGCTATTTGTAGTTATTCGTAGTGGTGTATGAAGGGAAAGAGAGAAAGGCATATACAATACTTGTCAATATGTTTAACATGAGAAAAGTTTAAATTTGTAAATGTGGTAAAATAGAGATCTGTATTTATTTAATGTGGTTACTTTGTTGTTACACAACCTAGACATTGATTATTTACGCAGAAAGTAGAATTGGTAAGCCAAGTTCAAATTCCAGTCAATTCTGTTTTGTTCATTTCATGCCAATGCGCTTGGAAAATGTATGAATTCTTTCAGCTCGGAATTAAATAGTAGAGTAGACAGGACTCTCTTGCCTTGAGTGGCAGCCAGTCTAAGAGAAGGAAAACTGAATTCAAAACCTGAGGAGAGTTGTTTGGAGACTTTGCACACTGGGCACCATTTCTGTTATCAGTTCTGAAAAGTGTTGCCGATTCAACACTATATTCAAATCATCTGTCCAGGTAGTCTAGCAGTTCAGCCTTAAATTGATCAGTTGGGCTCTTATATGATGACATTGATGAGAATGTCCAAAATGTTATCAGTACATACTTTTATAGATTTTAGTTTGTTGAGTCTATAAAAATCAAAGTTATTTTTTGCAAGTTTATTTTTTCCACTCATGAAAACATTTTTAATTGTTTAAAATAAATTGTGCTTTCACCCTCATATAAAAATTATAACATATTTAGCCTAATATAATAGCTCAAGAATTTTGAATCCTAATTAATATCTATGCTTTCAAACTATTGTCAGTTTTGGAATTCATAAGAATTTGAGAGAAGTTACTTAAAACTATTTTAAATGTCATCAATACTTTTTGCTCCTTCAAAGTTTAAAAATTCTAACCACCTTTTTCTTCAATATCTGACAAATTGCTGAAGAAAATATTTTTGGAAAAGAATAGCAGATAACGTTAAAATTATGCAACAAAGATCATTGATAAGGTGGAGAAAAAAAATTTATATTCGTGACAGTTGTATCATTCAATAGTAATTATTTTAGTGTCATAGAAAATTACTAATACAAGGAAGTGTTAAAAACTTCACAACTTGATCCACTTCTCAAAATTTGACTAAATTACAAAAAACAAAAACTTTTTATTAAAAGGAAGGATTTCTTGGTCAGGCTAAGAACTTTTCATCATCATTCCCCACAACTTTGGATTTAGTAAAGAACACAGTTCTTCCTTATAAAGGATTAAAATAGTCATAAAGCATTCATCATGAAGAATTATGTGATAAACTTACCTATAAGAGAATGAAGTTCTTTTGAATACCTTGAATTGTCTGGGATAGTAAAGTTTCCACTTTGAATTGCTAAAGCACTTTCTCCAAAAGGCAATGAGAAAAAACACAGCCGATATAGTAGACATCCCAAAGCCTAAGCAAAAAAGGAAAAATAAGGAAAAGAGTTATCAGAAAAAATTGACAGATTGCTCTCAATTATCAGCAAAACAATGAGGGATGCATGAAAATATAATCAATTAAAGACTTCCTTATAAACAATGTTTACCAGTTTTGGTCTCTTATCAGTTGCCTACAATACTTTTTCATGCATTTTCTATTTTCCATGTATGAATTTAAACATAGTCCATGATTTTCTTGTAAGAAGCTTTGTTCTGCCCAAATCAAATCTTTATTTTGCATAGGTTAAATTTTGGCTTTTAATTATGAGATCCAGATGTTACATACACTTCCTTTCAGTCAACTCTGAATTTGATTTCTATTTATTCAACATTACACCAAGAAACTTACTGGTGCACAAATGTTTTTTAAATAAACCCTGAATATTAACATTCAAATACCTTGATTAGAGATCAAATGACCTTCAATTTTGATTACATAAGCCATAAAATGGTAGTTTACTAGTATATTGTCACCTGAAATATTGAAGAACTAATTCAAATTCTGATTTAAGTTTTTCAATATTGTTAGGATTCATTTATATTACATATATATTGATTAGAAATTGACTGAATCTCAATGTTAACATTTGATTTCAATGTTTGTTTATGTTAGACATGGAGTGCTAATGGAAGAGATTTTAAGGTAATTAAAACCTTCAGTTCTATTAATATTGTATGATTTAGGTTCAGTTACATCCTATATTTATTACTAATCCCCCAAAGAATACAGATTCCCTTTACATTTTTCATTGAATGGCTATATACCTTTATAAAAAGGTAACTTAACATCAGTTACTTAATTGAAAGAAATGCTGAAAAACGTTTAAATTAGTTTTGATTGAAACATCTGCAGAACTCAACATTTCAGGTGAAAGCATACTAGTAAACTACCTTTTCACTTTTATATAATTTCATTAGAGCCTGATTATACTTCACATTTTATTAATAACCTTTCATTTCAAAATGTAATTTAGGTTCAAATAATTACTTTCTTCCAGGCAACACATTTTGTGTCAGTTTTCATATTAAACTAAAACAAAACCTATCTTTAAATGCCATTCAATAATCAAAGAATTAATTTGAATTTTGAGTTAATTATAATGATATTTCCTTATCTGGTCTCATTTCATGAAAGTACACAGTAAAAGTAAACATGAAATTTTAATTATTAAGGAACTTTACTTTATATTAAAATTTAAAAACTGATACCATGTCATATATCTTACATATTAATCATGATTAGTGTATTGATTATAGAATCCAATCAGTTAACTTCATGGTAAAAAAAAAAATCTCCATAAGTTTGAATCTCATCAAAGGGTTGGGATACTGTTTCATATTTACATTATTTAACTGTCCTCATTTTTGTTGTTTTTATCACGTTTCAGCCATTGTGCCTTTTGGCCTTCCTCAAGTGCATATCAATCAGGGGATTCTGAACTGAACCCTTTATTTAATCTATAGGAGTAGACTGTTCTCATTCCACTGCTCATATCTAGTGATATTGTCTAGTTTTTAGTTGAGGTAATTTTGAATTGAACCCTTGATTTAATCTGTGGGGGGTAGATTGTTCTCGTTCTGCTATCCATGTCGAGAGAGGTTTCATCTTGTTCTTGTTTAGTACTGCTCAGTTACTGCTTGCTCTCTTTCCACCAGCCCAGTGATTGAACTGACAATGTCACCAAATTCATGAAACCAACACTTTCATTCACTAGGCCAGAGTTTCTCAACTGGTGTGCCCTGCTTCACTAATATGATCTGAAAGGTAGCCAGGTGTGCCTCAAGTTAACAAAAGAGTAATTTATGAATTATTTTTATATTTAAAAATAAATATTTATTTTTAAAGAGCTAGAGACACCAAGCACATGGCCAAGTCAAGTCTTGTCATTTGATATTTTAAACTGAATTTAAAATTTCTTAATTTTTAAAGGGGTGGATAATCCTTTCCCTTTTGCCTTCCTCGAGGGATTTAAATCCATCATTACTGGTCTCTCAAAAAAAAAAAAAAAAAAAAATCCCAGAATCTTGACAAATTCCTTTAAATGAAAACTTTACTGCTAATCATCTTTGGAGATGCTTAACCAAAATTTCATATTTGAAAGTTTTATGACTAATTTTTCCTTATTAAAATTTAAAGTGCACCGTGAAGTAAAAAAAAAAAAAAAGTTCAGAAACACTGCACTAGGCTAGTGAATAATAGGGCAATCCCGAGTCTAGAACTTGAAACCTTAAACCAAATTTGCCCATTGTCACTGCTTGTTATGCTTGACTGCATTCACTGAGGCTTCTTTTCTTTCTGCTGCTGAAGCCTTGTCATTTCTCTTTATTAAATTTATTTCTATGCTAGGACTACTATGGAGATCCACATAGCTTAGCATATGTGCTGATTACTTTAGACTTTTGACTCCAGTGTTCTGTCTTCATCAAAGATGAGGACAATAGTTTGAGAGTAAATAATGATATCTCTTCATTCTAGAAATTTGAATAGAAATTTTATTCTTTGTATTCGCTAGATTCTTGGGAGAAATGAAATAGTTGTATTTATGAGTTAGAAAAATTAAGTTGATATTTTGATTGTAAATTGACTTGTTTGGCTGAGGGTGTATAAATAATTGTCAGTTGAGCAAGATAGAAAGTCCAGTTTTTAGAGTCAAGTTGAATTAGTTGTGGCTCACACACAGTGGAAGAAAGTAGTCGTGATTCAAGTAACTACAAGTTACTTGTTACAGTTCTGAATGGATAAAAAAAATACATTCTCAGGAAACAAGTGGTGTTCAGTCCCTACCAGAAATAGTTCATTGCAATGTTCTCTACATTATAACATTTGGCAAATTAAAGAACAAAGTAACATAAAACAATTAACATCAAACCTATAAAGCAGATATCTATCTGCATGCCCACTCAAGCAGGATGTGGCACAAGGCTAACTTCAAGTTGGAGTTCCATGTGAGCATATCACTAAGGACAAAAATTGCTCAAAACCTTTCAGCATTTCCTCTTCTGAGAATACCTTAGGTGCTAGGGATTAAATTTAGACACCTCTTGAAGGTGAGGTATTTTCAAAGACATTACACTTAAATTTAACCTTGATGTGGTACAGGTTGAGTCAGGTAAGTATGTGCTAATAAATAAAAGAAATCTGAAAATTAGTGTTAATATCAAGCCTCAACAAGAGAATTAGTTGAGATTTTTCTTCTATTTGTAAGAACTTACCCAAATGTCTGATTTTGTTGTTATAGTTTTGCCACCATAGAGGTCAACCATTTCAGGGGCTCGATATGGAAGTGTAGTGTACCTGGAAAAGGAGAAAAAAAAATTACTCATACACATTTAAAAAAAAAAAAAAAGAAAAAAAAAAGGGCTGTGATTCACATTAGAGACAAAGTGAGATTTCCCTGAAACTTTTTTAAAAATTTTTTACTATCAATTAAATCTGAAACATGCAATAGATTATGAAATTTATTATAAACTAATGAAGAAATGACTATCCTTATTTAGTAATGATCTAGTAACAATCAAAAAACAAAAAAGCATTCCAATAACAAATACTGAAAATTATTTCTAGATTAATCATTTTTTATGCCTTAGTCTTGAACTCTTGGATAAGCCTTATTTGTCAA